GGACTCCCCTGGATCTCACGAGGCTGGGGTGGGGTGGGGGTGGGATGAAGCTGGGCAGCCAACTCTCAGGATGGTGTCTCCACAGGGGACAGGGGGTGGAGGCTCAGGTGACCCACCCAGCTGTGGCTGGCCGAGGAAAGGGGGTGCCTGCTGCATACCTTTGTTTGATCTGGTTCATGAGAACCCCACCCAGGCTACTTGCCTAGTGGGACCACTCTGTGCCTTCAGGACAGGCAGTATTTTCTAAACTGTTCCAAGAGGAGGAAAATCAGACCTGCCTTTGAAGAAGGAAACTCCTCTGCCTCTCCGAGCTACCCGCCAACCAGTCCAGGGCCCATTTCAGGCCTTCCAAGCAGGCTAGAGAGCCGTGCCCAGGGGTGGGAAGTATAAATGACCTGACCTTGGGATCCCCAGCCCGGTACCTCATCTGTGTGTCAGGCAGACCTATTTCATGGTGTTCGTCGGGGGCATCAAGGCACGGCGCTGATGGACAGAGCCCTAAGTGGACTCGACGTCCCCCAAGGCTGCCTTGAGCGTTACGCTTCCCGGGGGTCGTCTCACTCCGGCGGCCAGGAGCGCTTCCCGAGCTCCGTCCCGCGCTCCCCGGAAATGCAAGTCCGGGTCCCGGCAGTCCGCACCGCGGGAGCTCCGAGCCGGACGCACCCACGGGAACGCCCTCCCCAACGTGGGGGGAACCCGATACGCCTGCGGCTGCGCAGTCGCTACAGTCCCTCAACTCGCCCCGACCCCCACCCCAGGCCAGCTCGGCTCAGCCCACCGGAAATGACGGCGCGTGCGCAGACCGCGCTGACGTTGGGGGTCCCGCGGCTCCCAGCTGACCAGTCACACTGGGGGAGGGATATCCACCGACCCAACACGCCCCGCGTCTAGGCTTGAGGTCGAGGATCAGGAGACCCCAGGACACCTTCCTCAGGTGCCCCCGCTCCTGCAGGCTGCACTGTCCCCCGCTGCTCCTGACGGTCATTCCGGCGCTGGACACACACTTCACTGAGTGATCCCTTCTCTTCTGCCCCCTCCACCTCTCTGAGATCAGCGCCTAGCCGGGCAAGGCGCTGAATACATTTGAATGAGTGAGGTCCTCCGGTGTGCATCCCCCCACTTCCCCGTACAGCATTTGAGTGTCCCAGACCGCTGTCTGCCCTGGAAGGGGGATTCTTTTAGATTCTCATAGTCCTTGTGGTCAGAAAGTGCTTCGGGGTGTCTACCTCAAAATCCTGCAGTTCAAACCTCCATCTTGTCATCAGTGAAATGACCTTTAGGATGATAATACTGAGAGTGTGCTCCGGTGACCTACTTCGGCCTTCCTTCTTTAAGACCTTCTGGTGGGGCTGTTGGGAGGATCAGTGCGTTAACATCGGGCCAAGTGCTTAGCCTAGTGCCTGGGCCCCGCCAGCCCTATTCAGTGTTTGCTTCTCGGATCATTATTATTTCAGCTGTTTTACCTGGAGGACCTAGCCCTTGCCCATCCTTACCTCTCTTCTCGCTGGGTTCCCGAGGCAGGCCAGGAAGACCTGTGTGAGGACCTTCCCTTCCTGGTGGTGGTGGTGGTCACAGGGCCAGGTAAGACATGGCCTCAGAGACCCATAGAGAAGCTCCAATCACATTTGCTCACTGTGGCACACCGGAAATGATGGCGCGTGCTCAGGCCGCGCAGATGGGGGATCCATGGATCCATCTGCCTTTGGGCAGATAGTGCTCCTTGAGGGCAGGGACTCTGGCTGGCACACAGCAGGTGCCCCATGAATGAACAAATGAATGCTTTAAAATCAGTGGCAGAGCCTATTCCTTGGACCTCCTGAATCCATCTCCACCGCAGGTTAGACCCACTTGCCCCACCTGAAAGGCTCTTAAAATGAATGTGAGAAGCAGTTGGTGAAGATGTGTCATTCCTATTGACTGGAGTGGACTAGCCGAGTGGCTGCACCTTCTGTGATCATCCAGGATTTATCTTCATTCACTTATCCATAAATAGCTTTGTGCAAAACCAGTGTTAGGTGCCTGGGACACAAGGAACAGGACAGACCCAGTCCCTGCTCTCATGAAGCTTGCATTTTAGTAGGTGAGACATTAGCCAAATAAAACGGCATTAACCAAATAAAAAGGCAAACATTATTTTAAGGTGTGGTAAAAGTTTTAGGAACACACTGGGGGCTGAAATAACAACAGCTGGGGTGGGAAATCTCTCAGGGAAAGAGAATTTTAAGATAAGATCCTAAGGGTGAAAAGGGAACAGCCACATAGGGAGTGGGAGGAGGGATGCCCCAGGCAGAGGAACAACCTGTACAGAGAGATCCCAGGCAGAAAGAGCTTAGAGGGTTTGAGGAAGTGAAGAAAAATCAGTGTGGGTGGAAACTAGGAGCTTGGGGTAGGGGGTGCAGGGCCCAGATCATGCAGGGCCATGAAGGTCACTGTGGGGCCCTGAGAAAATTGTTCCTAACAAAGGGCTCCAAGGAGCTTTCAGTGGGGGAGTGTTGTGGGCTGCAGCTTACAATTTATCAGGCTGTCCTGCAGCAAATAGATTAGGGTGAGGGACAATGGAGGCTGCTGTAGCTGAGAGATGATGGGGCCCTGCAAAGGCAGGAGCAGTGGAGACCAGGGAGGTAGAAAATACCCTTGTTCGAGAGATAACATCCATCATCAGGACTTGGTAATGGATTGGACAGGGGTGGTAAGAGCAGGGGCATTAAGGGTGACACTGGATTTCTCCTTCGAGCACCTGGAAGGGGCCATTGACTGAAATGAGGAGACTTAGAGGCAAAGGTCGGGAGAGGGAAGGATTGAGCCTGGGGGCAGGAAGTGTGGCGAATAGGTCACCCACAATGTGGCAGTTTGAAACACTGCCAACTTCTTTGACACTTCTTCCCTGGGGAGGTGGGGTATAGGTCCCCTCCCCTTGCACCCAGTGGGCTTGTGATTGCTTTGACCAATAGAGAAGGGTGGAAGTGATTTTATGTGTTATTCCCAGGCCAGGCAGCTTCCTCTTTTTCTCTGAACGCCCTCTATTTGTGTGCACCTTTAGGGATACTCCCTCTCAGAGTGCAGCGTCCTTGCTGTGAGTGGCTCAAGCCATGTGCAGAGGTCCCATGTTGGTGTATCCATCTTCAGCCCCAGCTGAGCCCAGCCCTTAGGTCCTTGAAGTCCAGGCACCAGATATGTGAGGGAAGAAGCCTCCAGATGGTTCCAGGCCCCAGCTGCTCCAAGAGTTAACCCTTCCCCAGCCATTCTTGTCTTCCCAGCTGAGACATCATGGAGGAGAGTCAAGCCACCTCAGCTGGGTCCTATCTGGATTATTGAACATGGAATTTATAATGAAATGGTTATGTTTCACACCAAATTTGGTAGGAAAGTTGTTACACAGCAATAATACCTAGAACACACATCAAGTTGACAACTAACTTCAACATCACCTGCATCCTTCCTCTCCATCCCACCTGTGACTGCCTTGGTTCATCATCTCACCTTCAGATGGATTCCCAGCATTCAGGCTGCTTTATCTTTCCCATAGCAGCCAGAATGAATGATTGCTAAGACATAATGATGTCAAATGACATTATTCCTGTGCTTCAAAGCCTCCTCGTTGCTCATGGAATAAGATTCAAGCTCCTTAACAGTTGGCTGTATGGGGGCCTTTCTGGTCTGGTCCTGGCCTACCTCACCAGCTTTATT